TCTGGATCATTTAAATAAAGCACAATGATCATATTAAATCTATGCTAAAAGACAAATACCTTCAAGCTTGGCAAGTCTGGAACTATAAGCAAAATCTTACGATAATGTCATTACTCCTTGTGCATTACCATGTGATTGACACAGTAAGCTGAAGACTCTTCTCACCACACATGTGATGCACATGTGATAGTGCATCTTTATCAGAGTAAACCTGATTGCAAACAAATCTCTTCTCCCAGAGTGTGGTATGTTAATTAAAATATCTAACTGAAGAAGGGTGCATTTATTCAGAAAGCATTCGTTAGTACCTATATAATTCTCAAGAAGAAAAGGAAGACAATTGAAAATCAATGATTGAACTAGAAGACAAAGAACTCAAAACGCTTTGCTTGAAACAAAAACTTAGCTCACTATGAATGAAAAGATTTACAGTTCCTTTCAAAAATTTGTTATTCAAAATTGCTCCTTCAAAAGTCCAAATGAGAAATGGCATTATTGAAATTGGAGTCAGAAAAGATAACTTGAAATTAACTTTTAACTATTGCCTTACTACTCCATCAAGCAGTAAGAAGTCATAAAAGAACTTCTTCCATCAGCTGGAAAAATTTGCACAGAAAATGTGTTAACATCCCAGCAATGACACCATTGACACATTTTTAAACCTCTTGCTTAATATTAATAAATTACATCACTTAATTTTAACATTAATTAATAGCAATACATAATATTTAAATGCCGTTATTATTAAATTTTCTTAATTTTATGTTTTCTTTTTGAAATATCTAGATAATTTTATATACAAAAAATATACGTTAAAATCACTTTTACTGTTTATTATTTTAAGAATTCAGTTTCACTTAGTATTTTAAAATATGTTGCTCAATTTTATATTTCAATTGAATTAAATGCTGGGTCAGTAATTTTACTTTCTAAATCCTGAATTTGTATTTTGCAAAAGTAGATAGTGAAATACTACAGTTCGCATTTTTTGCTTTTATTAGTAAAATGTTCAAAGACTGCTGTTTTCATTCACTGATGATGATAGGCTGAGTAGATAATGGTGACTGGGAAGAAAGAAAAGTTTTTTAATGAGACAGAATCAGCCAGAGCTAGCAATTTAAGTATATTGTGTATAAGGAAAAAGAAGGGAAAAAAGAATACTCTGCTTTCTTGTATGAACTTTGAGTAAATGTAGTTATGAACATTCCCATTCCCATAGAGAGAGGGAACACAAGAGAAAAAGGAGGAGAGGAAACAGAAAAATAAGCAAGAAAACAAAATAGCAAATAGCACCTCTATCCTGTTTTATACCCCAAATGCACTGTGACGGATTTGGCAACTCTTCTGGACTAGCAGAGGCTAGTTGATGACACAGTAAAGCAGACCATGAATGACAAACAGAAGGTTCATCACAGGACTCTCTTCAGTTTCTTAATCTTGAGATACTTTGAATCTGACCAGAGCCAGTGCCCCTCTTGTTTGTTGCCTGTAAGTGAGGTTGAGTAGTTTCTAACCTTGCAGTTAGAAAAGCAGTGTATGTATGTGGAGGGCTGGTATATGCTTGTATTCCTATGATGGGAATCTGAATGTATTTTACCAGAAAGATGATTCTCTGCACTGGTTATTTCTATAGTATTATTCAGTTCAGTTCAGTTCAGTACCTCAGTCGTGTCCGACTATTTGTGACCCCATGAACTGTAGCACGCCAGGCCTCCCTGTCCAACACCAACTCCCGGAGTTTACTCAGACTCATGCCCATCGAGTCGGAGATGCCATCCAGCCATCTCATCCTCTGTCGTCCCCTTCTCCTCCTGCCCCCAATCCCTCCCAGCATCAGGGTCTTTTCCAATGAGTCAGCTCTTCACATGAGGTGGCCAAAGTACTGGAATTTCAGCTTCAGCATCAGTCCTTCCAATGAACCCCCAGGACTGATCTCCTTTAGGATGGACTGTTGGATCTCCTTGGAGTCCAAGGGACTCTCAAGAGTCTTCTCCAACACTACAGTTCAAAAGCATGAATTCTTCAGCACTCAGCTTTCTTCAAAGTCCAACTCTCACATCCATACATGACAACTGGAAAAACCATAGCCTTGACTAGACAGACCGTTGTTGGCCAAGTAACGTCTCTGCTTTTTATATGGTGTCTAGGTTGGTCATAACTTTCCTTCCAAGGAGTAAGCGTCTTTTAATTTCATGGCTGCAGTCACCATCTGCAGTGATTTGGGAGACCAAAAAATAAAGTCTGACACTATTTCCACTGTTTCCCCATCTATTTCCCATGAAGTGATGGGACCAGATGCCATGATCTTAAGTCAACTTTTTCACTCTCCTCTTTCACTTTCATCAAGAGGCTCTTTAGTTCCTCTTCACTTTCTGCCATAAGGGTGAAATCATCTGCATATCTGAGATAATTGATATTTCTCCCGGCAATCTTGATTCCAGCTTGTGGTTCTTCCAGCCCAGCGTTTCTCATGATATACTCTTCTTAAAAGTTAAATACACAGGGTGACAATATACAGCCTTGACGTACCCTTTTCCTATTTGGAACCAGTCTGTTGTTCCATGTCCAGTTCTAACTGTTGCTTCCTGACCTGCACACAGGTTTCTCAAGAGGTGGGTCAGATGGTCTGGTATGCCCATCTCTTTCAGAATTTTCCACAGTTTATTGTGATCCACACAGTCAATAAATCAGAAATAGATGTTTCTCTGGAACTCTCTTGCTTTTTCGATGATCCAGCAGATGTTGGCAATTTGATCTCTGGTTCCTTATCTTTTCTAAAACCAGCTTGCACATCTGGAGGTTCATGGTTCACATATTGTTGAAACCTGACTTGGAGAATTTTGAGCATTACTTTACTAGCATGTGAGATGAGTGCAATTGTGTGGTAGTTTGAGCATTCTTTGGCATCGCCTTTCTTTGGGGTTGGAATGAAAAGTGAACTTTTCTAGTCCTGTGGCCACTGCCGAGTTTTCCAAATTTGCTGGCATATTGAGTGCAGCACTTTCACAGCATCATCTTTCAGGATTTGAAATAGCTCAACTGGAATTCCATCACCTCCACTAGCTTTGTTCGTAGTAATGTTTTCTAAGGCCCACTTGACTTCACATTCCAGGATGTCTGGCTCTAGGTGAGTGATCACACCATTTTGATTATCTGGGTTGTGAAGATTTTTTTGTATAGTTCTTCTGTGTATTCTTGCCACCTCTTCTTAATATCTTCTGCTTCTGTTAAGTCCATACCATTTCTGTCCTTTATCAAGCCAATCTTTTCATGAAATGTTCCCTTGGTATCTCTAATTTTCTTGAAGAGATTTCTAGTCTTTCCCATTTTTGTTTTCCTCTACTTCTTTGCATAGATCGCTAAGGAAGGCTTCTTATCTCTCCTTGCTACTCTTTGGAACTCTGCATTCAAATGGAAATATCTTTCCTTTTCTCCTTTGCTTTTCACTTCTCTTCTTTTCACAACTATTTGTAAGGACTCCTCAGACAGCCATTTTGCTTTTTTACGTTTCTTTTCCTTTGGGATGGTCTTGATCCCTGTCTCCTGTGCAGTGTCACGAACCTCCATCCATAGTTCATCAGACATTCTGTCTATAAGATCTAGTCCCTTAAATCTATTTCTCACTTCCACTGTATAATCATAAGGGATTTGATTTTGGTCACACCTGAATGGTCTAGTCGTTTTCCCTACTTTCTTCAATTGAAGTCTGAATTTGGCAAGAAGGAGTTCATGATCTGAGCCACAGTCAGCTCCTGGTCTTGTTTTTGCTGACTGTATAGAGCTTCTTCATCTTTGGCTGCAAAGAATATAATCAGTCTGATTTCAGTGTTGACTATCTGCTGATGTCCATGTGTAGAGTCTTCTCTTGTGTTGTTGGAAGAGGGTGTTTGCTATGACCAGTGCATTCTCTTGGCAAAACTCTATTATTATGAGGACATTCCTTTGTATACATTATAGATTTAATAACCTGTTAATATCTAGGCTTCCCTGTTAGCTCAGATGATAAAGTGTCTGCCTGCAATGCAGGAGACCTGGGTTCAACCCCTGGGTGGGAAGATCCTCTGGAGAAAGGAATGGCTACCCACTCCAGTATTCTTGCCTGGAGAACTCAGTGCAGAGTGGAGCCTGACAGGACACAGTCCATGGGGTCACAACCAGTTGGATATGATTGAGCAACTAACACTTTCACTTTTCACTTAATATCTGGTCAAATGACCTAACCACTTTTATTTGGAATTTGGAATACATTGGGAAAATGCCATTTTAAAAAGTCTCGTTAGTAAATAATTTTATGAACACACCAATAGGAAACTACTTATGGAGATAGTGAATGACTGGGAAACAGCAGGCTGCAGTCCATGGGGTCTCAAAAAGTAGGCACAACCTAGTGACTGAACAACAACAAATACCAAGCTTGAAAGTTGTGATACAGTGGGTCAGTTTTTAAGAGCATCAGAGTAAGACACCAAGCTACTCCAATTTGTGTTAAGGAGATTCAGAATTGCTCTTTTACTTTTTAGTTTGTGAGCACTTAAATTTCTGATCTTTTTTTTTTTTTTTTTTTGGTCTCTCCTGTATTTGCAACATTTTAGAAACTCATGTTATGGTTAATGTGGAAAAAATATTGTTTTCAATATATAGCTCTCTTCCTATCTGTACTAAGTTTCAAAGTGGTAAAGAGAGGGCTTTAAATTTTGTAATCTCCTAATTGTTGAAAAGTCCTGAAGCTTCTTAAAGCTTACTGAAGAGCTGAATTGTGCTGTAACTTTGTTTTCTGTAATTGAAGTCGAAGAGAACCACAGACAAGACTACATTTAACATTAGTCAAATGGCTTGTTTTGAAACTCAAGTGGCACTCTGAAATTTTGATATTGGTTTTTCTTTCCCATGTTTAAAGCTCCTTGAATCGTCAAATAAAAAAGACTTCTGAAGTATTAGGATGTCTTTAGGTCCTACTGTGTACCAGCAATGCAGGTGTTTTCTTCTGGATTTTATTTCAGAAATCTCTACCGCAGGACCTCTTGGCACGGGCACCACCACCACCAGTACCACCCTTCGGACCACAACCTGGAGCCCAGGCAGGAGTACCAGCCCCTCAGTGTCAGGAAGAAGAAACCGGAGTACCAGCACCCCATCGCCAGCCGTCGAGGTGCTTAACGACATCACCACACACCTTCCATCAGCATCGCCCCAAATCCCAGCTCTGGAAGAGAGCTGTGAGGCTGTGGAAGCTCGTGAAATCATGTGGTTTAAGACGCGTCAAGGACAGATGGCGAAGCAGCCGTGCCCAGCAGGAACTATAGGTACGTGTGTGCTGCAAAACAAAGCTAAAGGTGTATTGCTACTTTCGCATTTTGCTTTCCTAGCATTTTCTTGTCTTGTTTATTTGTTGGTGGTGGTGGTTTGGGGTTGGTTTGTTTGTTTGTTTGTTTGTTGTCACAACATCTTTTAACATTTGATTACCTTCTGGGCTCAGCTAAATTGCAATTGAAAGCAAAATATTTTCAGAGTTTGAGAATGCAGCCTAAAGAAGTCACAGGTGAGAATCTGCTGGTAATATTTATGAGACCGGTAGTTCTCAGCCATGCTGTGCAGGTTCTAGGTCAAGTTTCAGTTAAGCTCCCAAAGGGACTTCCCTGTGGCTCAGATGGTAAAGAATCCACCTGCAGTGCAGGAGACCTGGGTTCAGTTCCTGGGTTGGGAAGATCCCCTGGAGAAGGAAATGCAGCCCACTCCAGTATTCTTGCCTGGAGAGTCCCATGGACAGAGGAGCCTGGCAGATTGCAGTCCATGGGGTCACAACGAGTCGGAAGACTGAGCAACTAAACGGGGCACAGCCCAAGTTCCAAAGAGCCAGCTCTTCTGCACAAAAGCTCAGAGTTCAATCACTGGGCTGGTGGGCACTAGTTCTCATGCTTGTCACCGTCAAATGTTGGTTACACAAAGCTAGACGGAGGAGGCGCTAGTTCTCATGCTTGTTACCATCAAATATGTATTACACAAAACTAGACTGAGGACTTCCATATTAGATAATCATTGGAACTACCTATCATTTAACGAGAGAGTAGATTTAACTATCTTTTATTACCAGTCCTCATAGCTGGCCTTGATAATCAGAGGCTCTTTGTTGTCAGGGATGATACTGGCAGGAGTCAACCTCCTCTTACCCAACAACCACTGGAGACATCAGCCCTCCAGCACCAGCTCCCCCTCCCCGCCCCGCTTTTTTTCACTGATAACAATTCATAATATCCCAAACCCAGAAATAGTTTGATTTCTTATTATTACACATAAATCATCATAAAATTAATACTTGATACCCTGCATAAAATATGAATTATTCCATAAAATATGTAAATAAAACAAATAGGCAATAGATGTTCATTAGACTAGCATTGCTAGGACTCTGTCTCTGGGTTTTATTGATTTGATTACTTCAGCAGGTTTGTCTTAACAAAGTTTCAATGTGGACGCATACTTCTGAATTCCATGGTATATGAAGTGATAGGAAGACCATAAGATGTATATTGATTTTTATAAAAGTGCACATTTAATTTTTTTCAGCAAAGTGTTTAAAATTATTGTGGAATCTTCCTTCCCTTTATGAAGGGGCACAGTGTTTAGCCCCATTGTTTTCTATGGTACTGGAATCCGAAAACATTTTTAATTTCTCTAGCACTGCCCCCCTAATTTTGGACCTCAATTCCTTTATCTCTAAAAGAGAAATAATAATAGCACCAACTTCTTCAGATGTTTGTTGTAGAGGTTAGTGAAGTACTTTTTCTTTGAAAGCAGTTAGCAAACTGTCAAGAACTACAGAAATATGTCGTTATTTTTCTGTGAAAATGAAGAAAGAGATTTAAAGAAAACCTGAAACCCTCCTTCCCAGGTGACTATGTTATGCTGTGGTCTTATCTTTACCCTTTCCCTGTCCCCTCTGATGATCATGTGTTCGGGCCCACACAGTCTTTTCTCACTTGAATTATTGTGATAGCTTCCTCATAGCCCCCGCATCACTCCCTGAAATTCATCCTCCATCCTGCTGCCACAGTTATCTTTCTAAAACCTAAATCAGCCCATTTGTCTCCTCTGCTTAATGGTCTTCATTGATTTTCCAGCACCCGCAGATGACAGACAAGGGCGTTTACGATCTGGCTCTGCCAGCCTTTCCAACTCCATTAAATACAACTCCCTACCCAGCAGACCTCAATTCAGAACACTTGATTCCCAAAGACAGCATATTTTCCCTTTGCCTGGAATGCCCTTACCCATCTTGCAGACTGATTCCTTTATGACTGAGCTGCCACCTTTCATCTGAAAACTCAAGCAATAAGCCCCATGGAGGCTTATTCATCCAATTCATGAAATTATTCCCTATACCTGGTGTAGTTGTCCGTAAATGCTTTAAAAATACTGAGTGTTTGTTGTGTTATGTTTTTCTAATGATAGTTGCTTTGCTTGCCAGGCACCGTAAATGGTACTTTAATAGTCATTACCTCGGTTCAATGATCACAATCTTATCTTCTGCTCATATGTAAAAATATCATGAACATAAAGTCATTATAAGAAAGATTGTTTGAATATTTGAAGCAGACCTATTTCTCTCATTATTTTAGGAGTATCAACTTATCTCTGCCTGGCTCCTGATGGAATCTGGGACCCCCAGGGACCAGACCTTAGCAACTGTTCTTCTCCTTGGGTCAACCATATAACACAGAAGGTAAACCATGTGACTGTCAAGGAAGGCTTTGCCAGTTCCAGATCCTCAGTTGTTGAATATAACTGCTAAAAGCAAAATAGCCAATATTTGTTTTAATTAATGGGGAAAAATTCTCCCATTTTATTTTAACTCAAGATTTAATGACAATTCTAGTATGCTGTGAGCTAATTCTAGAATTTTGTTGTTCTTAAAGGGCAAATCTGTGTATTTCCCCTAAACTGGCAGTATGGCTTATAATAGTTTTATTATTAATACAAATTTTATGGTATTGTGAACTACAGATATAAAAGTCCAAGAGGTATTATAAATCAAACAAGCAAAAGCTTCTAGGATTCATACATACAGATTTTCCTGTGGAAATAATAATTATCAAAAGAAAAAAATCTACCTTTGGAATCTTAATCCATTTGATAAATGTTCTGTAACCTATTCATTTATCAGCGTTAAAAGTATACACATGTGTGACAGAATCTTGCAGACTCGAATTTGCAGGGCTTATTTGGTTGCAATATGTTGAACATTTTTATTATTAATGCACTGTGGAGCTTTGAATTGATTTCATTACAAACAGAGACCAGATGTGCATTTATGCCAAAAGGGCTATGGGATGAATCCTTATTATAGCAATTTGTGCGGATTTATGCACTCCTAAAATGGAGAGTCCTTCTATAGCACATTAGCTATGCTGAGGAATTTTTGAAAGAGATTTTTCCTGAGAAATATTACAAGCAATGGCCTCACTAAAAGCCTGTCTGTGCCATTTACTCTTTTCTCTATTTGTTTTTAACCAGGCTTATCCTCAATAATATACTGTATAATAATCCATAAATATCTACCCAGTAGATCATTTAGCAGATGAACCATAACTATCTATTTACCCTAAATCATGGAAGACCAGTGGTTATACTGACTCCAGTTACCCTCTTACATATGCATCTCCATACTTGTTGCTATTCATAATGATGCTTCTCCAATTTCAGTACTGTTCCTGCCACAGTTTTTATGTTCTTTGATTTTATTACAATGTAGCTCAGACCCCAGGGCAAATAACTCTTACTGGATGTGATCAGATTAAAAGATCAGTAGCATATCTCCTTACATTAGCAACTTTTAAAAAATATTCCCTACATACTTAGCCTGGGGTTAACATTAATTCAGTAATAATTCACCTAGAAAGCTGTGTTTTCATGATAATTCCTTAATATAGTTGGCATATTTCATTGCAGAAATTACTGGTGACTTTAACTGATAATATTGCTTAATTTTTTCCTTTCCTCTGCAGACCTGCTAGTCTTATGACAAAAGACACAGTTCCTTGCAAAGACCAGACAGTTGTTGCCCATTTGATTTAGGGATGGACTGTTTTTATTTTCTAACAGACATGTTCCATTCTTTTGGAGGGTTTCTGTATAATCCTATAGCATCTGTAAAAATATATTAAGATTATAGAGTTTAGATAGTTGAAATTTATAATACCTTAGCTAGATTACTTATAAGCTTGTAGAATTGTCAAACATTTAATAGTGGGCTTTTTAGCCCTGCAAATTGACTTATGTGCTTATTGCCAGGTCAGTGTTGGAGCCGGTGTTTAATTGGGTCTACCTTCATCAAGACGTCATGCTTAGCCACAACACTAGCTACAAAGTGAACAGATCATGATGGCCTTTATATCCCACACCCACTTAGCTAGTCTCTCTTCACTTCTCTCCACTGTTTTCCTTGGTGTATCCATTATACCTCCAACTATTTATGCCATTCATTAAACATAATTGTAGTTGAACAGGTTACCACAAAACTCCAACACATTTAAATATTGATGTTGTAAACCTCTGAGAGAGAATCTTCATGTACTTCCCATAGTGATTTGTCTCTGTTTTCTCTCCCTCCTCCCCAAAGCATCTTCCACAGAATTCATCCCTTTCCTCATTTCCTCCCTCAGTACCCAAGTCCCAACAGCAAACAGATGGAATCTGTGCAGAGAGTTTGTTTACAGTATTGGGGGAGCAAAGGTGAACTGCAAGGGATTGAGAGGAATCCCAATGCTAGGAACCCGGATGGAGCTGTTCCCAACTCCAGGCCTATGGTTGCCAGATCAAAGGAATGATGGAAAATTGGTAACCGAGTGTCTTTGAGAGGAAAGATGACCTCTAGACAAGAGACGCATCCTAGCCTCAGGCAACTTTTCAGAAAAGATCTAGGGGAATAAATATTCTGATCTCACCCACCCCCACCCCTCTTACCTGGCCTCACCTTCCCAGCCTCCCCACTAGCCAAACCCACACAAAAGCCAGAGAGAGAGATGTTGTCTTCATCATATCATGTGAGTCCATTTCCTAAGACAGAAAAGGATGGAGGAGGATGGGAAGGGTCTTCCCCGACTAAGAAATGGAAGGTATCCAGCAGAGTTCAGTTTTTCTTCACTTCTCTCACCCCTCCTCCCTTTCCCAGCCTCCTCTTCCTCTTTACTGCCTCTCTCTTCCCTCCTTCCTTTCTCTTGCTCCATCCTCTTTCCTCTGCTCTGACCTCCCCATTTTTCTTATGTTTTATGCCATGTTGAAAAACTTAAAGTGAAATAGGTATCTGATTTATTCCTCCCCTCCTCCACTCACTATAGTTCTGAGAATTTTTAAAGTAGAGGAACACTGTTTACCCCCAATAACAGTATAGATGGGAGAAAAAAAAAAGAGGAAGTGATTCTCTCATTTCAACAGTATATTCAGTTTCCCCTACCCAAGTTTGTGGGTACCAGTGTAGACTGCAAATATGCATAAATAAATGGATCACAATGCTTACTTTAGTTGGAAAAAGCAAACATTATCATTTTTCTTAAGAAATGAGTTGGGTTTTTCCTCCTGCAGTCAGGCAAGGAGGGAAAAATCAAGCACAGAATCTTGATGGTTTTGTGATTCACAAATGAAGTCAGGCCACTTATATATTGGTGAAATGATAGATTAAATTTTGAGTGGTATTATCGAGTAGATTACATTTCACTAGAGAAAATGTAAGCCTTTAAAGTCAGAAGAAATTTGTTAAATGCTGGCCATAATACTTTCATAGTCTTGAGATTTAATAAAAAGCCAAATTTGTGTAGAAAGGAAAAGGAAAGTTTACCTCAGCAGCAACGGGGAAGTGTAGAAGCAGAGAAGGAAGGAGAAATTGGTAGGTGAGTGGACAAATGGATGGGCAGGTGGACAGAAGGGTAGATACAAAGATAAATAGATGATTGGATAAAAAGATTAGATAGTGAAGCTGAGTACATGTCTTCAAATTAATGTTTTAAAAACATTTTCCTGTTTATGGAAGCCAACAAATTAGTTTAGAGCTCTGCTTTCTCAGATACATGTGATGAAATATCTGATTTTCTCACCTTTCTCAAAGACTCTTCACTGAAATCGTAATCTCTGGCTTTAGTTTGACCTGTAGCATGAACTGAAGTTTTCAAAAAGTTTGTATTTTCTATTTTTGCATATCTGTAAAGAATTCATTGCACTTTATAATCCCTCGTATCTTTTTTAAATTGAAAACTGTGAAATTCTAATTGTGAAGACCCTCCATATTTATAATATTTACATATAAAATGAGATCTGCTTCCTATTTCATTAACTGGTCCAAGTATTATATGAAAAAGAAACACCTGAATTGTTAGTGGGAAATAGTCTTTCTGTTTTAGCAAACTAAAGTATCTTTTCTTTTGTCTGCACACAAGTTACTAAAATATTTTGAGATAATGTAAGGTTCTTCCTGCATTTTCTTTTATTTTTTATTTTTCTTTTATTTTTTTTTCTTCCTGCATTTTCTAAAGAAGGATGTGTAGATCTACAAATGGTATTGCTGTTTTATATTATGTGCTTACTAAGTTGCTTCAGTCGTGTCCAATTCTGTGCAACCGTATGGACTATAGCCCCACAGGCTTCTGTCCATGGAGATTCTCCAGGCAAGAATACTGGAGTGGGTTGCCAGGCCCTTCTCCAGGGGATCTTCTTGACCTAGGGATCAAACTAACATCTCTTACGTCGCCTGCACTGGCGAGTTCTTTACCACCAGCACAACCTGGGAACCCCTTCACAGTACGAAATAAGCCAACTGTTTGTTCTGAAACTATGGTTGAAGCTTGCCACCCAGATCTTAATTTTACCATTCTTTTAGCACCCATAGATCTACTATGGAATAAAAGTAAATTGCTTATTAATTTTAACAGAGATTTGTGGCATTTCCACATCTTCAAGCTTAACTAGCCTACATTGAATTGTAAGGTAGAGACATTTTATTGTCTATAAACCCACTTGACTCAGATTTATAGAAAAATAGGTAGATCTTTCAAAGAAATGGTAGCTTTGTACTTAAACACTGAAACTCCTCCATGAATTGTTTTGCCACCTTATTAATTTGATGTAATAAATCCCATGAAATGTCAAAGCTTATTTCAAATAAAACTGTTTTTTCTTGAGTCACAATTTGAAATGCACATAGTATCCATCCCTGTCATAATTATTATCCTTAACTATAACGGCAGGGTTTCCCCTCCCCTATTCAAGCCCTGGGTATAATCCCACCATTTCAATACAGGCATTAATTTACTAATCCTCACAAAACTTATAAGATTTCTCAGTATGCATGTACTTATTTCTGAGGAATAATTTTAGCAGAATTTATTAAAAGAATTGTTAGAGATAGACATTGTCATGATGTCTTTAAGCTAGAATAAACGAAATAACTATTTCAGTCTTGCTTCTATGCACAGAAGACTTGAGGTAGATGTAAGATATGTGTATATTTTTGTGTGGAAATAGGATAATAACAACTGTGGTGAGTGAAATAAATAGGACAGTCAGAAAAAAGAGTAGCTTCTGGATGCCACTGGAAAGAATATGCTTAAAGCAGGCCTGGTCTGGATAGGCAAACTTTGAACTGAGCTTGAACCTTAAAGTCATTGTCCCTATTAATCAGCCAGTCAGTCCAGTCGCTCAGTTGTGTCTGACCTTTGCAACCCCGTGGACCGC